GCAGGGCGCAACATCGGACCCCGATTTGAAAGTACGAATCGAAGTCTGCTCCCAGACCCCCGTCCCCCGTCCCCACCCTTTAAAACGTGTGTTTTTTTAAATACATAGCGTGTTTAACGTATAAACGTGTATATTTTCGGGGTAAAAACCGTCACGAATCCATTTTACTTCGTCATATTTTAAATAATAATAAAACCCCCCAAAAATTGTGACCATCGACCGGTATTTATTGGAAATCTGGTGCTAATAAATAAAAACTGGTTTTCATGGTGTATATCGTCTATAGAGTTTAGACTGGCAATTTTGACACCTTTGACATCCCGAGTTCTCGACTTTCTCTCTATTTTGTTTTTAAAATATTAGAAATCTAAATAATAAATATATGTACTGGTATTAAAACTGGAGTGATGAGTCAAAATCTCTGGCGAGATATTCGGTATTTGTAAATATGTATTTATGTATTGTATGGTCGAATGCACTTCTCGTCCTGGTCAAAAGCAAGGTTAGGCTGCGCGTCGACCAGAAAAGTCAAATAAAGTGGTTAAAGGTGTAAAACTAGGGTCGCAAACCAATGTTTAGGTTGAACTGAGCGGGTCTGAGCCGGATGCAGCTTGGAAGTTTGAGAGACATAGAAGTAAAGAGTAGCCAATGCCCCAGTATCAAAATTAGTTGTATTACATTTTGGGCGGATAGAGTGGTCGAAGTATACCTATGGTGCATTGTTGTTTAGGTATCCATGCGAATAGCCTCTGTTCGTTACTACCGTTGCGAAGATACGTCACAACGATACCCTCAACACTACAGAATTCACACCGAAAAAGTTTCAAGAAGGAATATTCGAAATCACACTTCTGATTCCATAAGTATGCGAGCCGGAGAGATTCACAGAACAAGACCAATTATTCGATAGTCTAGTGGAGCTAACCATCCCAGGTTAACATTCTTGGATAAGTTTAATGAAAATGCACCGCAACGACCGAGGCAACCCCCAGATAAGGGTAAAGAAAACTGGAAAATTGACAGAAGGAGGGATGAACTGGGTTATTTCAGGTTCGTTTTTCATGAGATATATGGTGCAAATGATAGTGTATGTATGTAGTTATTAAATTTAAATATATTTTAATATA